TCATTTGTCCTTCACATAATCAGTCTTCTTGTACCATTAAAATTAAGAAAAAAAATTAGCCGATATCTGCTACGGTTTCTGGAAAAACGTCATTAATAGTTTATGTGGAACACTCTGTAGATTAGGTAGAGTTACTACATATGTATATTCGTGATCTAATGCCCACCATTCATTTTTCAAATCTGATTACATATATTTGTTTAATTAGACGTGTAACGTATTCTGTGACCAATTCATCGATCTATGGTACAATGGCGATAAAAGAAAGTTTAAAATCGATACGACTACGAATTCTAGCAATTCTTATACTCAAAATTACTCATACCATATTAAGCATAAACTCATTTTCTAAAATTATTTTCTTTTCTTTGCACATATCACTGTGTGTTTATTGAAACAGAACAATATACCTTCAATTCCTCGTTCTCTTGGTGTAAATCTGTCGCTTCTTCGGGCACTAAGCCGATCCCATTTAAAGAGAAACTGGCCGTAACACCGCGGGCTCTAGCACGGCTATCCCATTGATCTCCTTGGCCTCGTAAAACTCGGATCACCTATAGTTATATGAGATTATAAATTTATGATCGAATTAAACGACGATTATTTAATCGTTTAAAAAGCTGAATTTTACTATTTTACCGTATAGGAGGGAAAGCGAGACAGCGAAAGAATAATTGGATTACCTTGGGCGCAAATACAAGAAATATGGTGACAGAAGTAGACAGCTGTGTACGCAAGAAGCCTAACAAATACTTGATATCCGGGCCAGCATGAGGGAAAATGAAAAGACTGCAAAAGACGTCGTAGAATTTCAATTTTAAATTACAGTAACATCGGACAGGTAATAGTAAAAAGATGGAAAGTCATACTGAATAGCGATCATGGTTATATTCACAGCTGCTATATTGTAAATAGCGTAGCTTATTAAACGGGCCTCGTTGAAGAGACTCTCTGCATTGCGAACGTTGTAACACACTTTAATACCCCACGCGAGGAACAGAATTTCTCCTGAAAGGAAAATTTCATTTAATAGGTGGACGTTTAGCGATATATTTCTATTTGATACAACAGCAGAAGTTTTTAACGAATACTAGATATTTATCATTCAAACCTAAAACAAGCGACCAGCGAGCTGTCTCGAAGGTGGTCAAAATATGTTTTATCAATAACGTGCTTCAACATTTGTTATTACCGATTGCTAAACTATGGTCCCACCAGTTGAAAGAACATTGGTAGAATTTCAGACCATAATTGTCAGCTATCACTTCGGCATACGGCGGTGCGCTGAGTGTCCACGTGCCAAGATAAATTAACATTACTAACAATATCGGGACCATCCACTGCAGCAGCTGCTTGTCCGTAAGCTTCACCTTATGCGCGCTTTTCACGCGATATGTGAGAGACACTCTATGAAAAAGGACACTTTGTTTTATACATACACGGTAATGACACATAATCATAGTAGCTGATTACGACATCTTGCAATGAAGGTAATGTACATAGAAATAAAACAGATAATGACGCTATACAACTATAATAAAATGTCCATTGAATTAAAAAAATTTACTTGTTTTCTGAGGAAGTTTTTATATTTGTGTTCGTATAATCAAGGCATCAAGCCTCTGTAAAACACTCGAGGAAAGAAACAAAAGGCAAACAGAAAATAAATTTGAATTAAATTAACATTCACAAAATGATAAGGAGATTGATTCTGTTTTTAAAAGGAGTGAAACGGTATCGTTTCTTCTTACTACTTCCATATCGTTTAGTGTCTGATAATTATACATAATATTTTTGCGTATTAATTATCTTTTATTACGTCGCAAATATTATTACTACTCTTTTCTCCTTCTACTTCTCGATTGTCACGTATGGATTTTAAATTCCAGTCTCTTCGTTTTATTAGTCAAAAATAATACTTAACGTTCTCTGTTTGAAGTTCGCGAAAAAGATGAATAATAATGTTATTCTAATAATAATAATAATTCTAATAAAATCTGATAATGGTTCTGAACATGGCTTATGAAATCGACAGATTTCTTCACTTTAATTCTATCCTCTAAAGCAGTTGTCATCTTTCTATTATCTTCATGAAAACAGTTTCTGATCTTATCAAAATAATATTTTATTTTGGCGAATAAAGACACTGCGCTTCGAGAAAAATTAGATTAATTAATCTTGTACTATTATGGATTATTCTACGTAGATTATAGATTAAACATACAATTAGTTCGAATATCCCTCGTAATATGTATACAGTATAGTTGCATGAACGTTTTATTATGTGGATAAGGTTGAAAATATTTCGAAGTTCGTACGTCTTACCTCCAAGTTTTCATCAGCAATGCAGTGTATGAAATGCAAAAGCCGAGATGTCTCGTCCATTTCGTGGCGATACAAGAATACATGTCCAAAACGGGAAATATTGCGGCCATCTAAATACACGAAAAAATATGAAAAATATTACATACGAGCGATGCGTTAGATACGTTTATGCATTTACGAGAAAGTGTATGCGTACTTCGAGATACATAATAGCACAACCCAAAAGCGTAATAGACAAAAATATCGGCGAAGCGACCTTGAACACTTTGAGCTTACGGTGTTGATACATATAGACCACTAGGATGATGGTACCAAACACACAGAAAATAGAGAACGATAGAAGAGAGATTCTGAAAACACATACACACGTGCAAACATGTTATTATCTGATAAACAAACATCTGGAAGAATCGTAAAATTCATTTACTTAGTCTGAAAATGTGCCATTTCGAGAATGTGTATCATTTTCATATTTCAATGTACCTATGTATCCGAGAATAAGATCGATTAAGTTGATAATTACAAAATGTTTGAGACAGATAATCGAACGACAAATAGAAGTTTACGGTTACGTTCATACCGGAAGGGCCAGTTGTAGGTGGCTAAACAGGGTTCGGGTCCCTTGCACTTAACACATCCTGGTGCACAACGTAAGCAGCGGAACACCGTTACGTACGCGTCGCTTATGTTCTCTTGCATTTCCTTCCAAGCAGCTATAAAATTAATGGTTTAGCTGAGCTACAAGTCTCGATGATAACGCGTTTCTCGTAGACGAGAGTCAAATTATCTACTAACCTTCGACGAGAATTCCATCAAAAACGGATTGATGTTGGCTCGTGCTGTAATAACCTTTCCGACATTTGCATACATATGCACCTTTCGCCCAACCAGCACCGACACCGTTTTCATTTATACGATTATTTGGACTCTGATACTCACACTGTAAACCATACGAGGCATCAGTTGCAATGAAAGCTTTAAACTCGAGCGACTTAAACCACAACCTTAAAAAAGCTTCGATGCTATTCTGATAATGCGATATCTATTAAGCACTTCGAAAATTTCCGTTGTAACGTCTCTGACTGCATGATAATGTTTATATTCAGAGAATGAATCACGATAACGGATAAAGACAATAAATGAAACGGGGAATGCCTTGTAACGGTAGCTAGACGCAGAGAGTTCTAAGAGACGCTAATTAGATGTAGGGAAGACTTACCTGTGTCGTGTCGGTATGACATTTGTGCGTGCCTTTAAAAGATGCTATTTGATTACTTAGAACTTCGTTCTCATTATTTAACGACGATGCATCACATTGATTTACTTCTAGCCCACTGATATCGATATCTACGCTTAAAAATTCTCGAATCCTTAAACAAGATATAATCTCATTAATATTTATCAACATAGCTGATCCACTTATTGAGTAAAGAGGATTAAAGGTCAGTCTGAAGGGCTGTCGATCGAAGATAATTTTCTTATCGAGCATTTTCAATAGAATATTAATGACATTAAATCATACATGCAATGTATTTATACTATCTTCCTTACGTTATAACTCATACTCTTGTTAGTTGTTAGTCGCTGTATAAATGTACGATCAATGAAGTTGCAATTATTTATGAACAACGTTATATTTATGTTGGTTTAAAATAAGTTTTAAAAAACAGACGTACTAACACTGTTACGTAGTGGTAACACTGATGTCGACCGCAAGTTTTAATTGTCTAAAAATGTACTTGAAATCAGATAGAATGAATGAATTAATTACAATTAATTTTGCGACGTAAATGTAATGAAGTATACAACTTCAACTCGAAATAAACAGGATTCGATTTTAATAACGATAATTAAAAAAATAATACTACATTCGCACTTAATCGGTTAGAAATTAATACGATTTTTAATCGAACGACAGAGTTCAATTTAATTGCGAATAATGAAACGAAGTTTGATAAAAATCTAAATTATTAACGTGAAGAATTAAAAGTTAAGATAAATGACTGGATACGAACCCATGACGAGCGTCTGGTGGCCGTATGTTAACACTGTACGAAATCAACCAGCGATGACTTTTGCAGGAGAAATACGGGATGGTCCACCAACCCCTGTAGGATTCAATCGCCGGTGACTGCATGAATTTCGGTGACCTGGGATAACACGCAAACGCCACAAACCGCCATAGAAACTTCGATTTTTTTACGCACACGTATTTTGTGCAACGACCCCATTATTGTATATACATCTTATTCTTTCCTTCATCCCGTAGTCTTGGCACTTCACGGTCATCCGGTATATACGAACATTAAATTGCGGCCTAATCTCGAAATAATTGTCTGAATGTATCAATATTCCATTGCAACCAAGCGTATGCAAGTACTTGAACTGTAATAATTTGAAAGTAAAATAAACGAATTTATACAACAACATATACAAGGTGTTACAGTTTTTTCCTGTCAGCCTTTACCAACACGTTCTATAAGCGTAAACAGGAAAATAATTTTATATAAACGTATATTACATTGCGCGAAATTTTATTAAATGATTAAGGAACTGAATATAAAACACGGACGTAACAGACTTGTAGTTATGGCATAAATTAGTTGTTAACGAATGACGTTACTAGGTATTAATAGTCCATTTCAAAAGATTGCTCGTCCTGTTAAAAGGTATAGGACCGAGAGCATGAAAAAGTTGAATTTATCATTCCACGAAGTTCATTTTGCTTAATCCCAGTCAATCGGTGATCGATTCTTATCAGTTTAATCACACGTGTTAATTGTAATGTAGTATCGTGGATACATCGGGTGAACCATAAACAATATTGCGAGAAGGCCTAAGTGCCGTTAGGCCAAAAGGGCCTAGTAGTTTTACCGTGTGGTCGTAACCTGGACAGTCGAGTGGAGTAGTCGTGAGTTGAGAGTCGAGTGGAGTAGTCGTGAGTTAAGAGTCGAGTTGAGATAGTCGTGAGTTGAGAGTCGAATGGTGAGGAGTCGAGTTGTTAGGAGTCGAGAGTTGACTTGCCGAGTTGTTATGAGTTGTAAACTATTAATTGCGAATTGTGAATTAATTATTTAGTTGCCTCAGTTATAGCACATTACTATTTTAGTTCACGTTAAACCAACCTTTTCTTATTTAGTCCATTGTAAATAGATCTATCGATCAATAAACTTATTATATAGAATAGAAATTGGAACCCCTAATTTTTAATATTTCCAAATAAATAAAGAAATCCTATAGTAATATATTTTTGCATATTTTTTTCTTTAGTTTCCTACACACGAAAGTCCAGCAGCTAAATCAAAAAAATTATTCCCTTCGTTTGTTATTTGTTTTCTATCATCTTTTACCGTAGCTTCGTGTAAAGTAACGTGTACGTACATAAAATCTTTTCTTGATCTTCCCAATAGAAAGCATTAACAAAATTTGAGCGAAAAGAATTTTTCGAATTGGTAAAAGAAATACTCACATTCAACAGCATAATGGTTCCAATATTTTCAATATTTATAGAGAATACAAAAATATCTATAAAGAATTCCATCGAATGAGTATTATGCTTATCATATAAAATATCGTACCTAAGTGCTGCTTTTAAAAAAACACAGCGTTATATCCGCGTTGCGAGTATATTTTTCTCCGTGGATTTGTTCATACGTATTACGTATCAATTTTTCAAAATTAACTAGATGTTACCGTTCGTGTTATTTCCAAACTGGGATTTTGATAAGTTGATCGTCTACGACTTTATAATGATAATTCAGGGAATAGTCCAGTGACTTTTCTACGAGATAATTTGGAAACAAATCTGTGCACATACAGTGGCGTATATTATATACTAATCCATTAACTTCATCGTTCGCTAGTACCTTCATACGATTACGAAAATTTGTGGTCATGGAACTGGAATGCAGAAGCTGATGAAAGAATGCCTCGTTACAAGCCTATAAACAATTTTACGAGAAGTATTTCATTTTTTAATCGAATTCCTCGAATTCCCGTTGTTTTATTTCGTATTGGCGATATTCGCGTGTACGGAACGCTTGCCGTAATTACTGTCGAGCATTTTCGCAGGCGAATAGCTTTGTCATGTGAAGTTCGTAAACGATAGTAAATTGGAAGTGCCTTCTACAGGAAATCCTCTATAAATAGGAACTACCGCGTGTATTTCCACGGTAATTGATCTTTGCAAGACAAGCGAGAAAGTACGGGTTGCACGAGATTGACACACTGTGTCCCATACTTGTACATATGTATGTCTCACGTGTGTAAAGAATGGTTCGTACAACGTTTCCTGATCCTCATCGCAGCTCCTAGTCTCTCGTCCTAAGAACGACAAGTTCGACCAAAATGTGCTTTTAAGAGAATAGTAATCGTCTCGGAAAGCGTCGCTCTAATTGCTCGAAGAGATCCGCCGGGTACGCGATAAAGGTAAAGTTATATAGGCGACGTTAATTTATTTTAGTTATGCGTTATGATTGCTTCATATATCTTTAAGGCTATTTCTTTGCGAAATTTCGAAGTTATCGATGTTCTATATGCCACGTAGAAGCATTGTTTGTGCGTAAAATTACACTCGTTACGGTTATGCGCGCACCAGCGACAATTTATCGTTTACGAAGACGACGCGAATTTGAAGACACGATTGCATCAGGCACAGCATTTTCATTATTATAAGAAGAAAAAATTGGACCCGCATAGCCTAAGAGGAGACTGAAAATGTATACCTGTATAAGTTTTATACGTGTAACCTGCGATAAGCAACTTTTACAGTCTTGTCGGTTTTAATATTTTTCTCAAGATAAAAGCCGTTTCATTAGTAATCGTTTAATTAGTAACTAAATTACATAAAATTCTTCGTAATTGATCATCAGGAAAAAGGAAACTGTACATGTATCTACACATTTTTCATAAGTGTATTTGCAACAATTGCTTTGTTTTATTATATTCGACGGTTAGTTTTACGATACAAGCTATTAATACCACGGCGCCGTACATGGGTGTGTGTAATAAAAAGCCTTTAACGATATACCGATAGCGTATTGATTATCGTAGAGTTCTGTTTTAGAGTTTATGTTCCCCTTCAAAATAAAGACCCTTGAATACAATGCACACGATATCTGTAACACGCAATGAACGAAATAAAAGAAAAAGTAAAATTGTTACTTATTGTGTAAAGAACGAAGTAGGACGCAGCAGAAGTGTCAATTGACAGATCTCGTAACACGTCGAATAGTATAAATATAACGTATTAAAGTTACTTGTTCAACTATATTCATGTTATTTGCATTATTCGTATCGTAAGACCAACATCGTGTAATAATAAAATTCGCAATTCAATCGCGTCTTAAAAATTATAATTCATATATTATTTATTTCACTATCATTTATATATATTATTATTCATTGAATTCGCATTATTCTTTTTATACTGTATTACGTTGAAGATATTTTTAGTGAAATGAAAGATCATTAGAAATAAACAGAAGGATCAGAATTTTGTGGTCTTTCATTCGCGAGCAAAGGAAATCGCACTCGAAGAGGTACAGATGTTGTGAACAGAAGTTATAAATAAAACGGCAAAACAAAACTAAAAGCCTTATTTACAATTAAGAGATTAAAAGGAAGTAATAAAGCAATAAGGTCATTAATTGATCTTAATGAGAGACATGTTATAGTTCACATAAAAATAAATTAAAAAATTTGCCTAAAAACTTGCTACAGGTATCGCGAAATAATACGACAAGAAAGTTCAGCGACAAAATATATGAAAAGTTGTACGAAAACTCGATTATTATGATTAGCACGAAAAAGAAAGAAATAGTATAAAAAGTATTTTATACCGCTTTAAAAGAAATAGATAAATAGATTACAATTTAATTAAAGATGTGTAGATATAAATTTTGCACTATAAAAAAAAATATTTTTCATAATTCAATTCAAAATAAAGTCAACATATATGCATTATATAAAGGATTTATAAATCTAGAGAATATCTAATATAAATTAAACGAAACTACTAATCGTAGACGTAAAGAGGATAAAAGCTTAACCTCTTGCAGCTAAATGTGTTTTTCATGCAAATATATAACGATTTACCATTTAATACGATTCGATGCCAAGGGGTTAATAAGCTATTTATTCCATAAAAACATTTTAATTGTACAATATACTATTTCGTTTCCTTTTTTGCTATCGTGTGTATAGAATCGGTAGTATATATTTTATCAAAAGAAATTAGAGTTTATATAACTTGAAATATATTTCTCGTACATCAAAAATATTATAAAAAATGTTTCTTTTATCAAATTTATAATATAAGAATGTAATATAAGAGAGTAATATAAGAGATGGTATACGGTATTAATCGTTTAATACTATTGGGAAAATATTATATTTTTTTAGTATATATTCAATAAATTTATTTAAATCATTGCTTAAATCAATTGACTAACAGAATCGAGAATAGCTGTAACTGTCAATGGATTTGTCGTAGTAAATAACGAAGGAACTTCCACGAAATGTTCAATTTATAGTTTTTCACGTAACTTCGAGTCTTAACAAACATAAATGATGGATTTTTTATAAAGTTTCTTTCATGCATATTTTATGCTCTTATTTATAATCTTATCGTGGCTATAGATGTATTTTACTTATGCTTCATGATAATTCGATAGAATATTTTTATAATTTAACTCGATATACTCCATATATGTAAATTGTAAAATCACGAACTTTGAAACATTCAGACAATATATGATTTGGATAAGCATCACTTTGAAAAGACGTAAAATTTTTTAAAACGTATCTCATTGTTGCGTATCGAGTTTCTATGACTTGACGCTCGTACAAGATGATGAAGGATGATGAATGATCGTGGAGCGCCTATGAAATGCTTATTTTCTTCTCGGTAGAACTGTTTCCAAGTTAAAACATATTGCATATGTATACCTGTTTCTTGTCTAAATTTTACAACCAAAACACGATGTATGTAACAATATTGCGTTGGCAATACTGTTCGCCATTTATAACCATCTTTTTATCCGTTCTTATATGTTAAAATCGGTTACTTTACCGAGAAGAGGTAACGAAAATCAAGTATGAAGGGCGAAGTGCAAAACAAAAATGTTTTGTGCTTGTGCGTGTGCGTGCGTGCAGGTTGATGCTTCTTAAAAAGCTATGTGCAAATGTGAATACATTATTTTTAAATAATGTTTTCGACGAATACTTAATATCTAATAAATAAGCATCGCGTAAAGTTAGATCGCATCTGTTCGACTTAATAACATCAGACGAATTTTTATACGAACAACATGAACAATAATTAAAGAAGAGTAAACCCATCCCAATAATCGGCTGTAATATTTACTCAAAAGAGAGGCAAAATATTCATTTTCAGTTACAATCGGTTGTTTTCTGAACAAACTGTATGCCTTCGAACAATAGATTACCTATAATTTACGTCATAATTTGTTATTTTAAAGTCATCATATTTAAAATTGATAAACAAGAAAGAATTTATGTTATGCTTTACAAAATTTCCTACACCTACAATATTTTGATACACTAACGTTCCATTAACATCTTGTTTGCGATTATTATGTTTAATTATGAATAATTATTATTACGTTTAGGAACAAGAAGAATATAAATGTTAGTGTCATAGAAAAAAACGATGCTTAATTCATCGTTCAGATATTGATCGCTAGAAACATTTTATACCAATAACGAAACGGACCTGGTTGTTACAAGGAGGAACGAGAATGACAATATTATTTCGATATACAGTGGCTCAGGAAAATATTCGAACATTTTTAAAATATGATCTATATGATACAAAATATTTTGAAAATTCATTGGCATTGTAACAAGACATGTGATTATATATACTAGTAAAATTTAAAACAGATCTGGAAAATTATATAGAAGTTATAAAATATGTATTTATTACTTGTACATCTCGCAAAAGAGAGAGAGAGAGAGAGAGAGGGAGAGAAAGAGAGAGGAGGAGGTAGAGAGTCGCCAAAGTATTTCATTACAGTGAATTATTCACTATATTTATAACCTACAATATAGTTATTTTTAGCATTAATTGTATATTTAGACAGTATACAATTTATGTTGTATATTAATTTTTCACTAATAGCATGTTTATAATAAATATCTTGTAACCTCCATATAGATTTTCG